AAAAAAAAGGCAGCGGAGAGACTGAGGAAAATAATCCTTGGCACACCGCTTTAAATCACCCAAGGTGAGACCTGGGTGTGGAATTTCAAGGATCTGCTGAAAAGCCATGACCTGTTTTCAGTGTTGTCATTTCTGTAAGTGATATGCTCTATGCTTCTGAGATGCTACGCACAGATATGATTCAGCGAGGGGGAATCAGTGCCGGTAAAATCTGAGTCATGTTTTCTGTAAAAACGTTGTGGAAAACCAGTCATAGCACGACTGGTCCATTGACACTGACACTGGAAGATTTTAGAGAACAGCTGCCCTCTGCGTCTTCTTAGTTGAACCAGATCAGAGCAGCCCTGCTTTTGGAAGTTTGTTCTCCCCGGTGGGAGGTGGAAGGACAGCTCTGGATTGTTTTTTTTCCTGTGGCGAACACAGGCCCCAGCCCGTGGCCCCTGGCCGGCAGAAGGCAGCTCCCACATGCACCTCCTCTGCAAGAGAGCGGGACGTCCTGCTCCTGTGGTGCTAACTCTCACCCTTCTTTCCCGTCAGCACGATGCTTAGATCTAGACGCCCCCTCAAAACAGAACATCTGAGGTCTAAAATGTCCCTTTAAGTCTGGTTGAAACAAGTTTACAGTAGAAGCATGAGGGGACTAGGGTTGCCACCTGTCAGGAACTAAACTAAGAGACCCCCAACGGCAGACGTACGCTTTGTGTTTTGCAGGGGTGTTTTAGTGAGTGCATCAGATAACATTTCTTTTCAAATAACAGACAGATCTGTATATTACACGACAACCCTGTGAAGGGCTAAAATGAAATGTTTCTCGAGCACAATGCAAGTATGAAAACAAAGTCTTCGGAAAACGTTGATGGTACATGACCACTTTGGAGATCTGATAACAATAGCTGACATACAGGAGTTCATAAAGACCACAGTAGAAGAAAAAAAAAATCTCTTTAACATACAAATAAAGGGAGTATTTGACTATGAACTTGATACAAGTTCATACAATTATGAAACATGTCGTGGAAAAAAAAGATAGGTCTATACTGACCTCTAGTGGGGATATGAAAATATGCACATTAGAGGGAAAATTGAGGCTGGTCGAGGCTTTTTTCGCCTCCTTTAGAATTAGAAAATTGCCCTCTTGAAGAATAGATAAGTGTCTTAGAGTGTGCTGTATCAAAACTATCCCAATCTATTGCCACTACTGTGCGTTTCAGGGCGTTGTTTCTATGCTGTAAAACCCATCTGGTAGGCGCCCCCCTGTGGCCAAAGGAAGTAACAGCGTGTCACACTAAAGTGAAGCCAGTGTTTCTACAATGAAACACAATGAAAAGCAGCCCCTCTCATATAAACCACCTCCTCAGGGAGTTCTAACATATAATCTAACCTTTCTTCAATTAAAATCCTGTATCTTCCACCATATTTTCAGAGGAATTAGGAACGTCCTGTCTCATCCAGTTTCTTCACATCGTTTTTATGAGCGAATACATTAAGGTAGTTTGCTGTAATGTTAAATTTTTTGGGTTTTATTTTTCCTCCACAATTTAACAGTTCCTTATATATAAAAGTGGCACAAAATCTAAAACTCGAGCACCTGCCAGTAACTTAAAGATCAACTGGGTCATCTGATAAATATCCATGAATATGTGATTATATACACCATATTTATCAGTTAGCATGACAAAGCTTAATTTGAAGATCAACATTTATGACAAATCTTCAATATACCTTTTCTAATCCCTTTTCTAGATAAATCCTTTGACAAAAGAGCAAATCTACTGTTAGAGAAGAAAGAGCTGCACATCTCTCACATGTAGAAAAAGACAAACATGGAAAAGAAATCACGCAGCAGCATGCCCTGAAGGCATCCTTAATGTTGTGTCAAGTTTTTGCTTTTTTTTTATTTTGACGTTGTTTCAGAATATCATACAGGTAAACAAGTTTTTTTTTTTTTTTTGCAAAAGTTAATATATCCATAGAGTTGCATCTCATAAAAATAGTTGCTCCACTTACAGTCTTTGTGACCATCAATAGTACACTCAGTCATATTTATAGATATTTGTTCATGGTCTACACACCGCTATAACACTACACAGTGATACAGAGCTGCTCGGGTGATGCGGTTCATGTTTTGCCGTGTGTGGAAATGTCAATACACACTTTGCAAACACAGTTAAATGAAATGTCCTTTGTAGAGGTTTCCAATTTACTTCCTCCTACCTTCAGTTTTGGCTCAACGAAAACAGCTCAGACACACAAAGCAGTGAGTTACACACAGGCAGAAGAAAAAGTGCATGTGTTTTTTTTTGTTTGTTTCTGTCTCAACCCCCAGTCGCATCATAAAAGGAGCCGTCTGGCCAAACTGTGCAACCATCCAGCAGCTGAGCCGTGGGTGATGAGTTTTTGACTCTTCGACACAATAATCTGCATCCCCAGCCCTTCTGGGTGGCGTGTGTTTTAAAATCAGTCTGCTAAATCCTTGTGTAATTACAGATTAGCATGACAAACATAAGAATTCCCCGTCTGCCTTTCAAATACTTTAAGCAGTTCCCTTAGCAGCTTTCATGTTGGCTTTGTCAGGGGAACTGTGACATTTTTTAAAAACTTTTAAATAATTAAAGAACAAACAAGATATCCCAACTTTTACTGACCAGACACTGACAATTTGCAGAACTGCTCTCTGCTAAATCTGAGTTTCTTTACTGTCAATGATCAGTTTAAGATGGTTGAAACTTGAATTTATGCTCTTGTGGAGTGGGGTGATGTCTGTTTTAACTTTTTTATTATGTCAAGACCAAAAAAATTAACTAATGTTTGCTTAACCGCTCCGGGTTACAAACACTGACATGCAAATTGAAATAGTTCCTAAATGTTAAACCATCAGTATAAATGATTCCGTTCTACTTTCGTTGTGTTGTAATGTTGGTTTTAATGGAACGCCAAAACCCAGCCAAATTTAGCCAAACGCCAGCACAAAACCATTCGGTAAACGCAAGAATATTTCAAACTCTTTGTGAACAGAAAGACGATGAACAGAAAAAGCAAACAGTGGCTTGATCGATGTGCTTTATGGAATGTAGCGTTTTTTGTTTTGTGGCCCACTCTTAAAACACAGCCGTGATCTTTTCGGATTGGTCGATGAGCGTTGCCAGAACGTAATAGCGTCCCGTCGTGCTGTTTGGGGCCACAGCAGGCCAGAGAACCTCATGTGTCCGTCCTCCTCGGGCCTTCAAATGAAACGCTGCTGGAACCAAAAAGCCGAATTTTCAGATAAATTGCCGCCTTCTTTTTCATGGCTAGAAGAGATTGCTGTGTTGACTAAGGGTGGAAATCGGGGTCGGCTTTAGCAGCTGACCCGCTGACCCCTGAACCCCGCGTTGCAGCAGGCCTGATTCTGGCCTCCCGCGGGGCGTCACTCCCTTCTCTGTTTCTCACTCTTTCCTGCCTTTACTTTCCCCAGTAACCCTGTGTGTCCAAGCAAGTGTCAAGTTTTCATAAAATCTCATTTCATGTGTGATTAGGAAAAAAACAAGAGAAGAGAAGAAGCAAACAAAAAAAAACAATCCAAAACCTTTAAAGGAGCTTTGGCACAAATACGCAAGTCTTAACAATACATGGAGTTGTGCAGAGATTCATAGAGGTGAATCACCCACGGCTGTGAGATCTGCTGACCCCCCCCCTCTCTGACCATGATACAAACACATGACACAGACTGATGTGGGACACACCCTTTGAGACCAGCAAGTTTTTTTTAAAAAGACAACTCTGTCAGGTTTTACAAATTTGATTTGGTGCGAAGCTCCTCCGTGTGCTGACATTTGATAACACCATCAAATGATTCTTTGTGGACATTGCTAGTGTCGGGCCTCCATCCAGAAGTGAGTGACGAAATATGTCGTGACCCCAAATAAGAACCCTGTTAATGCTTCACATACATATTCCACCGTGTCACGCTTGTAAAATGCAGTTTATTGTTTTCTATCTGTGAAGTCGTTTTTTTATAGCAGCCTGTGTGTTGAAACCTTTCGAAGTATTTTGCAGTTGAACCTTTCACATAAAAAGCCAGACTCCGTCAGTCTAAGGCACTCTGCCCCTCTATTGCCATCGTGCAAACTTCTCTTTCGGCGTCCAGCTGGACGCCGCCGTCGCAAATCGCTTTGAAACACAAAAACAAGGAAAAATAAAAAAAATAAAGACCAAACAAACGACTCCTACTGAATGCAAAGCAACTGTGCAGTCAATCGCAGCTGAACCCCCCCCTCCCAGAAAACTGCAATCACAGGGCTGAACATAAGGAGCTGATGGCTCTGGTCCACTACGCTCCTTTATTCGTGGACTAGATTCCCAATCAGCTTAACAAGAGAGTTCTTCACTATGAAGATGATCTTATGTACAACATGTCCCCACATATTCATATGCATTATAATATATCTATGTCTATAACCATCTGATTGATTATTCAAACCAGACTGAAGCCCACACAGTCTCTGTTAAGGCAAAGCTCTGCTGATGAGTGGATATAATCCTTTCACGTTTTGATTTCATTCATTTTCATCAAAAACAGGCAGACCATCTTTTTGACATTCCACTTCATAAAATAGACTCCACGGTGCACAGTATACATATAGAAGAATCCGATAGTGTAGCCTGCTTCCTGTCCAGCTCTGCGAGAGGAAAACTCCAAATGGAGGCTTCCGAAATTCCGTCCTCCCAAATCATGCGCCGGCGAGCTACACAAAGATATAACGTGCTCCTTCTTCTTCATAACGTGGATGATTTTCCAGTTCTTAAGGTGGTGGGTGTAAAATATCTTTTTTTTCTTCTTTAGAATAATTTAAAATACTGCTTTATAAATAAAACTTTAAAAACACGTGGTCCTGATCACCCATCTCCCCCCCCCCCCCCCCCCCCCCCGACACGGGAAAAGGTGTGCGGATGGCAGTTTGGTCCTGATGGCGTTGTTAAGGTCCGGTGCCGGTGGCCATCGCGTCTGTCTGACCGCCCCGTTATCTGCTGAGCGTGGAGGTGCCCGTGCGCAGCGTGCTGGGCAGCTTGTCTGACCCGGGGATCTTCCACGGCCCGGGAGAGACGGTGGCCTTCCTCCCCGCCGCCGTGCCCCCGGCGGGGCTCTTTCCGGGCGCGCCGGGCCTCGTCTCTCCCGGCGGGCCGTCCTGCTCCCCGGCCCGGGGCTTGCCCGGCCTCCAGCGCTCCGCCTCCTCCCTGCTGGTCCCGTTGGCGTGCGGGAGCCTGGAGCCGCAGGGGGAGCGGGCCACGTCCCCGCGGTCCCCGCCGCTCCTCTCCTCCGACCTCCCTCTGGTGCTCCTGGAAGGTTCGCCGCTCTCCCCCTCCTTGCCCCCCTCTCGGTCAGTAGTAGGCTGCATCCTGTGTCCCTTTTGTGTGGACCTGCCACCCTCCTTCTTGGCTCTGCCGCCCCCGCCGCTCGCAGCCGCTCTCCTCCCCGCGCCGACGGGGTCTCTGCTCAGCAGCTCGGCCTTCTGGGGGCTCTTGGAACGCTCCATCCGGCTGTCTCGTGCCACCACGTCTCGAGAGACGTCCTGAAGTGGCAGATGAGGAGGGTCTGGGGCCGGGGCCAGATGAGATGAAGGCGATGACATGGAAAGGCTGTCGGTGGGAGGGGCTACTTCCGACAGACTTGGGGAGGCTGAAGGGCGAGCATCCCATGGGGTGGCATTGTCTGGAACACAGATGGACTCAGTCAGTACGCCGGAAACCACGCGAATTCATTCCAAACCCACTGCACACCCAAACACTCCACACACTAGAAAAAATCACTGCAATCATTCCGATTCTACGAGCAGAAAGCGTCAAAGCAAATACCAGAGCAGCATTAACACCTAAGTCTGAGCACATCAGAGAATGATTCTAAGCCTAGACCACATCAATCCGCTCTCCCATAGGTCACTTTAAAGCCCCGGCCAGTCCAAAACCTAGGTGGACAATCGAAAAATGGGTGTAATGAAATGGATGATGTGCCCAATAGAGTGGCGCTTCAGGGAGAATGGAAAGCACCAAGCGGCACGCGGCAGTGAATCCGTGGCACCCTCCACCACAACTTCCTACTCTCACGGCCTGTTAGTTCCTGTTTCTGCACCGATCCCTCGGCCCCTCAGCCATCAGTCATTTTAAGTGGTCCAGGCAGGGGGCCGAGGCCGGGCCGGCTGCAGTAGCGCCACGAGGCCCAATTAGGAGAAGCCCTTACGCAGCAGTAGAAACACACTCCATCCAGAAGAGAGAGGGAGAAGCAGAACCACTCCAGTTTCAGCCACAGTGTGCCTGCCATAGTAGAGTGTTTAAGGTGTGCTTTTTCTCATGAAAATGTGTATGTGACGTGCTGGGATAATTACGACTGAAAGCTCAGCTAAACTCTCTGTTCTTTGTTTAAAAAGACCCAACTTGCATTGTTCTATATGAGAATACTGTAAACTCTCATCAGGGGAAGGAATCGCTGTCTCATCTAAACTGACAGGGCTGATTTACACATCAGCAAATATTTTACTACTTCAGCTCTGTTTACCTGCCTCTTCAGCTGCGGGATGGCGTTCACCAGCTACACCGTCATTTTGTCGACAGCTTAGTGCTGAAGAAGATACTTTTAGAGCTTTTTCTACCTGGTTTTTACTTGAGTGTGAAGTCTTGAATGAATGTGTTTCTGTTTTTTTTGTTTTTTTTAGTTTACTTTGACCCTGAAGGGTAAAAAAAAACCTTAAATCTGGATATTTTTGGGGCATCCACTATTCATTTTTCAGAGTTCTGGTTGGTTAATCTGTTACATGTTTGTGAAGTTTAAAGTAAAATTAGTCTTGCTGGTACTGAACTATTTAAGCAAATATTCCAAAGGCTATTTTAAAAGTTCAAAAATCGGTTTGAAACATTCAAACTTGGTTTGGTAATGGGGCATGTAGAAACTGAGAGGTGGTTGTTTATTTATAGGTAAGTCAATTTGAAGCAGTCGTTCTTCTGGAATACCTCTCTCTGGATGCGTTGAAATGCTAAAACGCGTGTAAACTGACTCTAAACTCTTGCAGCAGGTGCTGGAAGAATTTTCAGAGACAACATGTCTGCAGGTAAAAATGATCTGAGGAACATCCTAATGAATTCTTTATTCAGCATTTATAACAAATCCACCTACAGCTGATTGGTCTCTGCAGGTTCTGGTGGCCTTTGCTTTATGAATCTGACGAATGCCCACACACCGTTTGCATTTGAGATGGTGCAATTTAAGCATCTTTATTATGCGTCTTTTACTAATGACTTTGTTCTAAAGCACACGGGATTTCAGCATATCATTACAATTTACTCCAAGATTAAAATGAAAGGAGTTCAATTTAATTCCTAAATGTTTTATGCATGATAATAGCCTTTCAGAGCTAAACTTCCACCTCCACAAATTGTGAGTCATTTATATCTCAGACAGATGAAGGCTGAGCTTTTGGGTCTGATTGGCCCAGCCTCTGGGTAGAATCTAAAAACAAACTTCCAATTATCAAATTACTTATGTGTAATTGGTTAAAGGATCAGAACCTAATTCATTCAAACTGGAAGGTAAACGCTTCTCCAGTGATTTACATCAATCCTTAAGCTTACGTTATTAATTGCTTGTTTTTTTCATTTGAGTTTTTTTTACTCTATGTTTTCTTCATATATAAACCTGATCTTTATTTAATATCCGAAATCGTGATTGAGAGAAAAAAGCAAAATTTACAAACTTTATGAAACTTAGAGGGTTTCTCTGAGCAAGTAAAGACTTTGATGAATGTGCATGCCCTGGAGGTTTCAGCCCTTATATCTTCAGAGAGACTCCATAACTCCACGCACAGATGAGTCCACACTAATATTCCACGCAAATCAACATCTAAGAACTTCTATATTAGGATCATAAAATCTTAAGAGTCTTCCAATTTGTGCACCATTTTGCATCGAGTTATTCATAAAAGAACAACAACAAAAAGACATAGCAAATTGGAACTAAGATGAATTCTTCCTTTTGACACACGTATGCTAATGCTTTAAGTGGCCTAATTAATCAGATCACTTCATTTGCATAATTTCCCAGTATGCAAATGAAGCACTACTATTCGAAGGTGTGGTGAAATGCTGAATCAAAGCCTTACAGACCTGAACGTGTGGGTTAAAACGTTGCTTCGGCTTCAGGTCGCAAGGGAAGAGAACACAGAGAACATCCTTAATGTTGAAGTGCTGTGTTGTCTACCTCCTATTAGGGCTGTAGAATAACCTTAAGGCAAGTATTACGCATGGCTTGTGTACAGAAATGAAACTGGATGGAGGCCAGCAGGGGCATTATTTCCCTGTTTTTAAAGCTGGAGGGTAGCCAATAAATTGAAATGATAAAGAGTAAGTGTCAATGAGGAGTGATGGAGAATACAGCTGTCTATCAAAGAGCGGGAAAAGTGAGCGTCATGCTTATTAAGTGGCCAGTGATTTTTATTACTGGCCACATTACAGAAATAAATGTCACACTCCATGCTCAACTCACGCCGTGCAGTCATTTTACTGGCTATACAAACTGAAACAATATCTAACCTTCATCTGTGGATGACTCAGGGTGAACTGCATATTTCAAGCTTGCAGCGAGGCCTAAATGAGCTGAGTTATGTTCACTAATTTTTCTAACTTCCTGCTGCTTTGTTGATTATTCCACCAGGAACATGGCAGGGACTTCAAGAGTTTATAGTCAGAGCTAAATGTTAGTCTGAGAAGTGTAACTTTAAAATATAACGACAAAACAAGAACACACGAAACCACAGCACAGAAAACCAGGGCTTAAGTGAAGAGAAAAACATTGGTATGGCAACAAACCGTGTCTTTAGAGTGGCCCGTTAGGAAGAAATAGGGGGAGCCATGCTTGTCACTTTTCATGCACATGGAGAGACTGGAAGATACCATTCCTATAGAAGGGGAAGTAACAACCTAGACCAATCAATTAGTGAAAGATCACTGAAATGGACAGAAGATAACTAGTGTTAGTCAAGATAGAAGAAACAAACAATTAGTTTTATTTATTACAGTTTAAGAAAAACACATCTAGAGTTTAAAGATAACAGGAGTATGAAGAGTATAAAGATCATATGAATATAACGCATGCAAGATTATTATTATTTTTTATCAAGAGTTGATGTAAGACAAGAGTAGGTCAGAAAATACAGAAATGATTCTGAGGACAAAGAGAGCTGCTGTGGGATGGAGGGCATGGATGCTCACCATACTCTGGGACCTGCCCCGTACCCCTTTTCAGGAGGAGACGAACACGTCTGCCTCCAGACTTGATGAGCTCGATGGCCCTGGCGTGGGTCATGTCCCGAGTGCTCTCACCATTTATCTCAATGATTTGGTCCCCAACCTAAGGGTGAGAGTGCAAGAAACAAAAAAAGAGATTCGTTTTAACAATCAGTTGGAAATAAAATAGAAAAAAACAGGTGAAACTCAGGCAGGTGTTGTAAGGATACAGATAAAACGATTTTTAAATAAATAAATAAATAAAATCAGCCAATAAATCTTATAGGACTTAATGCTGACATCACTGTAGCTAGGAGGTATGTTTTAAAGCAACAAAATCAAGAGCCCCTTTTCCTGTTTCAATATCACTTCTGTGCTTGAAAACATCTTGCATTCCAAAACTTTTTAGACTCCGAGCCAGAGCTTATTTGCCCTGTATTGAATATTAAAAAAACCTTGTGAAGAAAAATAGAGGACACAGCACTGCTGCAGCCACAAGGAGCTGCGTTCCGAATTAAACAGGCCAACATTCTTGTGACCTGGTGAAAAACCTGGTGTATGATGACCTTCAGAGGACAAGATAATAAAAAGAAACTGAGAGAACTGGATGTATAAAAGAGTGGAAAGTGGACACAGACACAGACACATATCATACAAAAGACAGATACCTTGTAGATACACGCTCATTGACCATTTACCTATTTGTACCCATTTGGAGTGCATTTCTCCATCATGCATTTGTTAATACATTAAATAAGGACAATGTGGAATTCAGCATTTAGCCCGAGGACTATCAAATTCTAAAGCACTAAACTGGGGAACTTCTGACTGGTTGGCACCTCTTTATCCTGAGCCTAAGCCTATGAAATTCAGAAAAATACATTTAGGATATAATATAACATTTCCCAGCTCAACTTTACAGGTTGCATTATCTCGACTACAAGAGATTGCAACTTTTTTTTCAGGCAGCTTAGCTCAGTGACTGACCAAATACTGAGCTAGTCCAGAGTACATGACCACCGAAACAGTACTGTTAAGAGATTCAGAATACCAATAAAGCCTTCTGAACAATGACTGTGAAGCGTGGGCTTAAAACAAGCTGAGAGTGCTAATGAGCCATCATCCAGGGAATATCCACAACTAAATGGCAAAAAGGACAACAAAAGAAAACCTATTAGACATTAAACTAGTTTGTTTCCAAAATTAAGTGGTGTCAGGGCATTTTCTTTCCCTTGTCGCACGCATGCACGCACACACACACACGCACACACTCTATGTTCTAATGAGCATCTCTAAAATCTCTAAAAATAAAAAACTGCAGCTCCTGCCTATCAGTGGTCAGCGAAAGCAAATTTTGGTTAAGTCTTATTTTGTCACCATGCATATAAATAAAAGGATTTTATATAAATAGAAAAACCCTTCAACCCTTCAAGAGGCAGCGGCGAGGTTAACTAATGGGGAGGATTCATGGGGAACAGGACAAAACGTGCCACCCAATTACGCTAACAAATGGAGAAGTTCTCCAGTAATGGCTGAAGCGATTTCAAAGTCAGGAGCAGACTTGAGTCAAGGGAAAGGAGGAGGTGGTGGTGGTGGGGGGGTCATTAGGTGTCATTACAGTGGTCTGACGGGAGGCGGAGGAGGTGGAAGGCAAGGCTATTCGCTCATTAATCCTGACCTCCAAACAGTTGAGGAGAGCGATCTCCATTTTCCCCCTCAATAAAAAGGGAAATAAAGTTGAATGGACAGCGAGTGAATGGGGAGCTCAGACAGTGTGAGGTGGAGGCGAAGTGGGAATTAACTCCATTGCACTCTACGCCAACACACAACTCAGTTTTACTGAAGGGTCAATGACTACTGTGCTCATAAAATGCGCTGAATTATCATCCATAATAATCAGACACCGATTTCTTAAAATCTTTGTACTGGCGCTTGAACCTTGAAGTCATCTGTTTGAATTGGTTAGTTCTCTGCTCCTGGTAAATTTCTGGCCCCTGCAATTCAAAACGAATTTCTCCCTTTTGAAAGCGGTTATGAAGGGCACGCGGTGTTTATATGACTGTGCTCAGGCACGAAACATCCACGGAGACACAGCTTTTTATTGAGTTTATCGGTTTTTGCTCCTTAGAAATGTGACAAATCAGCCACCATTTAAAATCCTGTAAATAATTCAATCTTTAAAATAAATCTAGAAACAGTATAATGAACTGATGTCTGAGTTGTTGTCAATTGTACGGTCTTCATCAAAATAAAAATCCGGATGTATTTCAGATTTGACTGTTGACAACCTTATTTATTAATGATTTTCATTATTTCTCACCCCAAAAAAATTGGGAAATTGATCAAATCTATCTGAACATCTAATAGAGGAATATAACAAAAGATCAGATCATCTGTGTGTGGAGCGTAGATGCAGTGTTTTGTTTGTGGTTTCACTCCCACGTTTTCATTTTACATACAGTCTGTGAATGCTTGTGATTCTCGGCTGACTTTAGGAATGCCCCAGAGGGATTTCCTCTCCTCTTCCACCTGTGTCTGGGCTCACTGGTCTGTGCTGACTACACCATCCAGAAGGGAGAATAATACCTCCCTCTGGGGCATTTTGCACACATTATCTTTGACAGGTTCATTACAGATAAGCATTATAGAGCATACCCAGGCTATCAGTTTCAGACATAAGGGTTGTAGAACATGACAGAAAGAAAAGAAGAAAGCAGAGGTTTGAGGGCACTGGCAAATACAGACAAGCTGCTGTTGGAACTTCTAATTTATTTTGGCAGCGGCAAATTACAGAAAATATACCCACCAGTGATCTTTCTGTCTTTATAAATTCTGAAAATGCTACGCTGGCTCTCGGGAGAAACATCTCTAAAGCTCTTTCGAAAAGATGAGAAAAGTTGCTGTTGCAGCTTTGATAACATCACTCAATTACGGTGAGGGACCGGCATGTAATCCAGAGCGATAGAAAGCGGCTTAACCTTTAAAGAGTGTGTATCAGCTCAGTCGAAGAATGAGACATCCTCAGACCTACCCTCATCCTCCCGTTGCGGATGGCTGGCCCGTCCTCTGCCAGCCGTAGGACGAACAGGTCCATTTTGTACTCCCGTCCGCCGCGGATGCTGAAGCCAAAGCCTTTCACGCTCTTCTCCAACTCCACTGTGAAGAAGTCAAAGTCCTGCGAAAGCTGAAACAAGCAGAGATTCAGACTTTGATTACAGTCGGTCACGTGCTAGGATAAATTATCCTATGATTGAGAAAAAGGCCTCAGAAAGTTTGGGAGTTAGTTCCGAAGGACGTGGGACATACAAACATTAACAATTCTTTTGCTCTGCGTTTACTTAAAGCAATGGGAGTGTAACGAGAAAAACTGAATCTAAATAAACGAAAACATCACAAATCAGACATACTTCATTTACATTACTATTTGATGGACTTCCTACAACAACATCCATGGAGCAGACAGCACTGAAATGACAGGAGCTGTTTTGTGCTGGGGGAAACATTCTTACTTGAACTGGTGGCATTCGGTAGTCCGGGATGGTGAACTGCCTGGCATCGGTAGCTAACTGTCTGTAATCAAGCAGTGGGGGGTGTCTGTAGTCCAGTGTGGGTGGCTGCCGGTAGTCCGCCACAGGAGGGTGCCGGTAATCCACCGGTGGCTGCCGGTAGTCTGTGAACGGGGGCTGTCGGATGTCTGGCTTAACGTCTTGCCTGGCCTTCACCTCGGACCTGTAGCTAACCAACACACCAGGAAGGAGAGGGAACTTAGGGAGGGATATTTGTTGCCAATGACTATTTGTTACCGCCCACTGAATTGCGGTCTTACCCGTTCTGGTTTAAACACCTCCTTTTAGTTTACATTCACAACAAGTAAGATGGACTTCAGCAGGAAAATGAAACCCGCAGTATGAAATCTTTATAACGAAAGCGGAATTTTCTCAGAGGTTGTTACTGAGTATAAAGAGAGGTGAATATCATATAAAGCAGACGGAAAAGCGACAACACTGTAGATTTCTGACCCTGTAGTTCTTGGTAAAAGACTGAAAGGATCTCTATAAAGAAGAAATGCGATAAATAATTGAACATTCCGTAAGAGTAAAGTGATGTTATACAACAAACTGAGGAGAGAGAGAAACAGAGAGAGAGAATTATACAGCGAGACAGACAGGAATAATGATGAAAAAGAGAAAAAGGGGAGTCGTAAAGTATAGCACGAAGAGAAAATGAAGGAACAAAGAGAGAAGACGCCTTCAGAGCCTCAGAAAAATCAGACGGTTGCATGTCGACGTGGCTCCTTTTGGTAATGGTGTCTTACCTGCCCTCATGGGTGAAGTTCTGAGGTGGAGGGGCGGGAAGCTGGGTCACAGGGCTTTGATGGGGCTGGTGGAGGGAGGGGTTCGGTTCCGCCGGTCCCTGGCCGGACTGGCAGGCGGTGGAGTTGGGCTGGGCCTTCGGGCTGTGCGGCTGAACCATGGGGCTCTGCTTCTCCGAGGTGGGAGCCGATGGAGGGTTGCTTATCTCTGTGATGCAGGAAAAAAAAAAAAAAAAAAGTAAGAGGAACTCAAACACAACTGGTGCTTTTCGCATTTTCCATTTAACAGGATAGGATATTTTTGGGCTCTTGTGTGACGGTGAAGAAGCATATCAGGTAATTACAAAGATGATCTGATGAATCCAAATCTCCCTCATCACATCTGTTGCCCTGTGGTGGGACATGGCGACCTTATCAAAGATTTTTTTTTTTTTACTGAAAAAGGATGCCCGCTGGCGATGGTAATGAGAGTGGGCAAAATGGGCTTCGGTATCTTTTAGGAATGTTGACTTTAAAAAAACCGTGGCTTGGACCAGAAAGGGCCAAAGCGAAGCGTGACCACTCCCTCTCCTCAGCAACAGCTGCCACAGCTGTAAACATTAAATATTGATTAGAGCAGTTTTTTGTTTGATTAACCAGAGCAATGCCGTTGCCAGGCAACTGGGGCTTGTGTCTGACCATTTTCAACTTTTTTACAGGTCTGAGATTCCAAGCCCCCCCCCCCCCCCCCC